CCCCAAAACCCCAAAACCCCAAAACCCCAAAACCCCAAAACCCCGAGAACCTCGTGGTCAGTGGAAAGTTTAAATAAATCAATAATATATTAAATTTTGGAGAGATGGCTGACTTAGCGAGTTTCGATGGCGATGCTGGTTCTGATAACTCAGAGAATGCCATGCAATATCAGCAAAATACAGACAGTGTCTACAAAAAGTACTTTTGCAACCTCTTGATAGAGGATAATCCTTTAGAGTTCATAAAGATCAAGAAGATCTACTAAAGGAAATGATGTTAAATTCTCAACAGAATCTTGAAAAATGTAGCAAGCTAGAAGAGGAAAATAAGAACTTTTTCGAACGCAACAGGGATCTCAAAGAGAGTTTGTATTCCTTAGCTGAGAAAGTCGATAAGCGAGACCAAGATCTCTCTGAAGTTGTAGACAAATTAACTGAACTTGAAAATGAGCTAGAGTTGTCAAAAATAGAAAACATACAGTTGAGAAGCCAGTAGGAAATATAGTTAAGATATAGACTCGAACGCAAGGAAAACATAGAACATAAGAAGAGGAAGACCCATACTCATACCTCTTTTATGCAAAAATAATGAGAGTTCTGATGAAGAAGAGGAAGAACGCAAGTCAATGAACTATCGATCACAAGCTACCCATAAAAGTGTCAGACTCAGCAAACAAGATATGTCCATTCTAGCCATGAGTGAGAATAAAGATGACGTTAACGATAAGTTCTCTGGAAAAGTTACTGAAATCAAAGAGATGGTCCTAGGCATTACAGAAAACATGACTGAAAGTTTCAATGGTATCAAAGCTATGGTTGAGGAGCAGGATAAAGAAATCCTTGCTAACCATAAAATGCTTCTTAGAATTGACAATCAGATTAAGTCAGTCTGAAATGAGTTAGCCCACTACAATATGACAAAGGAAGAGCATGAGTTATTAATCAACGAATTGGTAAAAGAGAGTAACTGTTATTGATTAATTCAGAATAGCTCAGGAGAATCACAAAGCTTTGCTGGTCATGAAAGGAGCGCTAAACTCAGCAAGAACACTACAAACCAGCACCTCTAGGTATGCATATTTGAGGATCTTTATTTAACGGAAAATCTTTCTGAGGTCTCCTAATTGATTAATTTTAGAGTGACAGATGTCGGCCAAAATCAATTGTCAAGTAAGATATCAATGTAATGGATTTAGCTCCAACTGATGTCAAGCCTGTTAATGAAAACATTGATCCAAAGAGAGGTTCAGTCCTTGAGATTAGCGATTTCAATGGAATAGATAATGATGTCGGCCTCGGAGACGGCATCCTTGAAGATCTTGACCATGTTGAATCTGAAGAGGAAATGTAATCTTTCCCGATTATATATTTAGTAGGAGCCAATCATTTGAAGATGAAGAAGAAGAAATAGATGAAATAAATATAAAGCCAGAACAAGAGGAAAACAAGATAAAGGAAACTGACTCTCAGCATAAAGATTCTGACCAAATGCAATCAGCTGAGGAGATGGACGTTGTAGAGGATTCTAAAGCAGATCGTGAAAAAGAAATGGAAGACAAATTCAAAAAGGTGTTAAGGGTAAGATTTCAAAGTTATTCTACAGCCTCTCAACTCAATGATGAGCTCAACTTCTAGCTTATCTAAGAAGGCTAGCCTGCTCAATAAAGAAGCCAAGCAGGATAGCTCGATGCGCAGATCAGCAACAATTGACAGTTCTAACAGGTATCAATACGGTCGTAATTCGGTTACTCGATCAACTCTTGTGATGGAGAAGATCATGGAGGATAGATACACTAGACTAAATTCTGATAAAAAGAAGAAACCAATGTTTTTGATCAATGAAACCACGGATAGTGAGGAAACTGGAGAGAAGAAATACCAACACGAACCGATGGACGATTTTCAGAAACTGAAGAAAGAATATTTCAAACTGGTAATGATTTTAAAGATGCTGACCTAACTTTCAATAGACTATCATTATCAAAGCAATGCAAGAGAGGATCAGAAGAGAAGATTATAATGTTGAAGAGATATGGGCAAAAGTAGGATATGACCTAGATATCGACCAATATTCTTCCTTTGTAGCAAATCATCTTGATGAAGTTAAAGAAGATATCCATAGAAGAAGGTATGCTATATTAAATATTTTTAGAACTCAAGATGCTAGTACAGAATTCTCAAGCAGGACTTCTAAAAGAATGAACGCAGAAGAGTACTCAAACTTAGCTGAAATGATATCAATCAAGGCTGAGATCTATCAGAACATCCTAAAGCATCAAGCAAAATACAAAAGGCAAATCACAGGAGTAAGTTTTCATACCTCAACCCTCTTAAAAATCTATTTTCTACACCTAAACTATTTCCTCTTCAACTCGACTCAAACGTGTCAAAACCCTTCTCTCCAAAATCACAGTTAGTTCTACATTCAATTTTATTCCGTATCCTGCCATTCAAACGTCCCAAAGCGTCATTTAAACTCAATTTTAATAGTCTTCATTGGCTGATATTGACTCTGAGGAAGAAGATACAGAAGATGAATACGACGATATCTTTGAAGATAGCCATCCTTTGATAAGACATATTAAATGGGCTTATTACTCTTTCTGCAGAAAAGGAAGAGATCTTTATAGGTACGTTATCTAAAAGTAATCTGGCTGTGTTCAACAAAAGATCTCTTTTTGGGGTTTTGGGGTTTTGGGGTTTTGGGGTTTTGGGG